GATTACTGAAGAAAATACTTCCTTAAAAATTAGAATAGAAAGCCCAACAGCAAGAGATAGAAAGAGAAATCCCATTTAAACTTACTGTAGATATTATAAAATATTTAGGAGTCTACCTCCCAAAACAAACCCAGCAACTCTATGAACACAATTACAAAACATTTTTCACACAAATAAAATCAGATCTAAATAACTGGAAAAACATCAGTTGTTCATGGGTAGGCCGAACTAATATAATAAAAACAACAATCCTACCTAAGCTAATTTACTTATTCAGTGCCATACCAATCAAACTACCAAAAAATTATTTTACAGAGTTAGAAAAAATAATAACAAGATTCATTTGGAAAAACAAAAGGTCCAGAATGTCAAAGGAACTAAAGAAAAGAAATACAGGGGAAGGTGGCCTAGCAATTCCAGATCTTAAATTCTATTATAAAGCAGCAATCATCAAAACTGCTTGGTACTGGCTAAGAAATAGGGAGGTGGATCAGTGGAATAGGTTAAATATGCAAGACACAGTAGTCAATGACTATAGTAATCTATTATTTGATAAACCCAAAGACCCCAGCTTCTGGGATAAGAACCCACTCTTTGAAAAAAACTGCTGGGAAAACTGGAAAAGAGTATGGCAGAAACTAGGCATAGACCCAAATCTCACACCATATACCAAAATAAAGTCAAAATGGGTTCAGGACTTAGATATAAAGGCTGATACCATAAGTAAACTGGGAGAACAAGGAATAGTTTACCTATCAGATCTATGGAGAACAGAAGAATTCATGACCAAACAGGAGATAGAGAACATTATGAAAAGCAAAATGGATAATTTTGATTACATTAAATTGAAAAGTTTTTGTACAAACAAAGCCAATGCAACTAAGATTAGAAGGAAGGTAGAAAATTGGGAAAGAATTTTTACAACCAGTCTTTCTGATAAAGGCCTCATTTCTAAAATATATAGAGAATTAAGACAAATTTATAAGAACACAAGCCATTCCCCAATTGATAAATGGTCAAAGGATATGAACAGACAGTTCTCAGATGAAGAAATTAAAGCCATCTATAGTCATATGAAAAAATGCTCTAAATCATTATTGATTAGAGAAATGCAAATCAAAACAACACACCTATCAGATTGGCCAACATGACAAAACAGGAAAATGATAAATGTTGGAGAGGATGTGGGAAAATTAGAACGCTAATACATTGTTGGTGGAGTTGTGAAATGATCCAACCATTTGGAGAACAATTTGGAACTATGCCCAAAGGGCTACAAAAATGTGCATACCCTTTGATCCAGCAATAGCACTTCTAGGGCTACTTCCCAAAGAGATCAAACAAATGGGAAAAGGACCCACATGTACAAAAATATACATAGCAGCTCTTTTTGTGGTGGCAAAGAATTGGAAATTGAGAGGATGCCCATCAATTGGGGAATGGCTGAGCAAGTTGTGGTATATGAATGTAATAGAATACTATTGTGCTATAAGAAATGATGAACAGGCTGACTTCAGAAAAACCTGGAAAGACTTATATGGTCTGATGCTGAGTGAAGTGAGCAGAACCAAGAGGACTTTGTACACAATAACAGCCACATTATGCAACGACTAAGAATGTTAAACTGAACCCTTCTCAGCATTATGAGGATCTAAGACATCTGCAGAGGCCTTGGGATGGAAAAGGCTGTCCACATCCAAAGAAAGAACTATGGAAGTCGAATCGCTCTCACTTATTTTTACCTTCTGTTGAGTTTTGTTTCATCTTTTTTGATGGTTCCTCCTATTGGTTTTAATTTTTACTTACAACTTCACTAATGTGAAAATATGTTTAATGGGTATGTAAATGCAAAGCCTATGTCAGATTGTGCGCCATCTTGGGGAGGGTGGGGGGGAGAAAAGGGAGAAAAATTTTCAACTCAAAAGCATATGGAAAAAAAAAATAAAAAATACATTAAAAAACATTAGAATAGAGCAATTGGATGATGGTGACTTTATGAGAAATCAAGACACAGTAGAACAAATCCAAAAGAAAGAAGAAGAAAAATTAGAAAACAATGTGAAATATCTCATTGGAAAAACAGCTGACCTGGAAAATAGATCCAGGAGAGAGAATTTAAAAATTATTGGACTATCTGAAAGCCATGATCAAAAAAAGAGCCTAGACATCATCTTTCGAGAAATTATCGAGGAAAACTGCCCTGATGTTTTAGAACCAGAGGGCAAAATAGAAATTGAAAGAATCTACCGATCTCCTCCTGAAAGAGATCCCCAAAGGAAAACTCCTAGGAATATTGTAGCCAAATTCCAGAGTTCAAGGTCAAGGATAAAATATTACAAGCTGCCAGAAAGAAACAATTCAAGTATTGTGGAAACACAATCAGGATAACACAAGATTTAGCAGCTTCTACATTAAGGGACCACAAGGCATGGAATATAATATACCGGAGGGCAAAGGAGATAGGATTACAACCAAGAATCACCTACCCAGCAAAACTGAGTATAATCCTTCAGGGGAAAAAATGGTCAGTCAGTGAAATAGAGGACTTTCAACCATTCTTGATGAAAAGACCGGAGCTGAATAGAAAATTTGACTTTCAAATACAAGACTCAAGTGGAACATGAAGAGGTAAACAGGAAAGAGAAATCATAAGAGACTTATTAAGGCTGAACTGTTTACATTCCTGCATGGAAAGATGATATTTATAACTCATGAGACCTTTGTCAGTATTAGGGTAGTGGGAAGGGAAAAAATTATATGTATGTATATATAGATAGATAGATAGAGGGCACAGGGTGAGTTGAAGATTAAGGGGTCTTATCTGCAGAATAAAATTAAGGAGTGAGAGAGGATTATACTAGGAGAAGGAGAAAGGGAGAGGTAGAATGGGGTATATTATCTCACACAAAACAGACAAGAAAAGGTTCTTACAGTGGAGGGGAAACAGGGGAAGGTGAGAGGAAATGAAGGAATCTTATTCTCATAGGATTTGGCTTATGGAGGGAATAACACATACACTCAATTGGGTATGGAAATCTGTCTTACCCTACAGGAAAATAGGGGGTGAAGGGGACAAGAGAGCAGGGGATGATAGAGAGGAGGGCAGATTGGGAAAGGGGGTAATCAGAAGTAAATACTTCTGAGGAGGGACAGGGTCAGAAGAAAGAATAGAACAAATGGGGGGGCAGGATAGGATTAAGGGAAATAGAGTTAGTTTTTCACAACATGTCTACTATGGAAGTGTTTTGCATAACTGCACATGTATGGCCTGTATTGAGTTGCTTGCCTTTTCAATGAGGGTTGGTGGGGTGGGAGGAAGGGAGAAAATTTGGAACCCAAAGTTTTAAAAACACATGTTTAAAAAAAATGTTTCCACATGCAGCTGGGAAATAAGAAATACAGGAAATGAGGTACAGAAATATATCCTGCCCTAAAGGAAAATAGAAGGGGAAGGGAATAAGAGAAGTAGGGGGGAGAGATAGAAGGGAGGGCAGACTAGGGGAAGGGGTATTCAGAATGCATGCCATCTTGGGGTGGAGGGAGGGGCAAGATGGGGTGAAAATTTGGAATTCAAAATCTTGTGGAAGTAAATGTTGAAAACTAAAAATAAATAAATTTATATAAAAAAATAAATTTTAAAAAACCTATTGATAAAAAAAAAAAAAGAAAGAAACTGGCTGGCAGCAAGAGAAGTTTTACACACTTAAATCCTCATTGAAGGAGATGGTTACCAAAAGGAGGATGAGCCCCAAGCTATTGGAAGATATGGATCTTTCCTTGAAGAAGCTATTCAGAGAGCATAGGGCCAGCCAAGGTCAAAGTGAAATGGTGTGAAATCCAGCAGTACTGTGAAAAGCTTCATGTTTTGATGATTTAATTATCAAGCTCCTAGAAGAGTATAATAGCAGTTATGGGTTCCTGTTTCATATTTAAGTCTTTGTCAATACATGCTTCTGAGTCTTTTGCATTTTCAACACTTACTTTGTGTGAAAGAAATAAATAGCTGTCCTATACCTGCATTATATTATACACTGAGTTCCTTTCTACTAGCCCCTTCTGGAAGACATTAGACATGACCCAAACCTAAGCTTTACATGGTTTTCCCTAGAACTCTAGGGTAGGGATATAAAGGGTCCAGAGACAACAAAAGAGAACCTGACTCTTCTTTTTGTAGGCCAGGCTCCTCCAGGCCTGAACCTGGTCTATGTGTTTCTGGAACTGAGAGACCCTTTCCTAGGAGAAATTTCTCTTGTAATCTCTTTGACTGAGCAGAAGTTCTGCTGTTACAACTGCTAACTTGCTACAAAAAGTAATCTAAATCCACTGGCTCCCCTTAATTGCTCACTTAATTGCTCCTTAATCCAGGGGCTGGTTCTTTACTTTTTTTGATTTAGACCCATTTGGAAACCTGATTAAGCCTATGGACCCCTTTCTCAGAATCATGTTGTTAAATGGATAAAATGAAATATATTCATTATAAAAGACACCAATCCTATTGAAATACAGTTGTCAAAATATTTTTAAAACAAGGTCACACACTCCAGTTGAGAACACCTGCTTACAGGTTTATGTTCCTGATATTCTACTAATATTGAATAGAGATACCTAGGGTGATCCAATGGATAGAGAACTATGAGTGGAATCAAGAGCTGACTTCAAATCCATACTCACATACCAGCTGTGTGACCTTTGGCATGTCACTTAATCTCTGTTTGCTCAGTTTCCCTATAAAATGGAGAACATAAGGGCGCCCACTTCCCAGGGTTGTTGTAAGGATGAAATGAGATAATGTTTATAAAACACTTAGCACCATGCCTGACACATGGTAGGTGCTTAATAAATGCTTGCTTTCTATTGGCTAAAGGTCCACAATGACCTCCCAATGATCCCACCCAATGACCCTTTCCCAGTCCCTGACCTCTTTTAAGCATTTGATACTGTTGACCACCCTCTTGGCTTCCATGACACTGCACTTGCCTGGTTGTCCTCTTATTTCTTACCTCTATTTCTCTATCTCCTCTGCTAACTCTTGATTCTTCCCACACATAAATGGAGGTGCTTGCCAAGGTTCTGTACTCAGCCTTCTCTTTCCTCTCTCTGTTCTCTTCCTTGGCAATCTGTGGGCCATCATTCATTTCTTCAATGCAACAAAGATTTATTAAGTGCAAGGCACTGTACTAGGTACTGATTTTCTACTAGGTACATTTCCAAAAAATGAAAAATAATAGAGTCCTTGCGCAAAGCACAATATGGAGGATAGGACATACATATAAACATGATACCAGCTAGTATGCGATAAGGGCTATTACCCACATAAGACATTCTATCTCCCACTTTTGTTCCTTCTCACACACTGGCCCCAACATCCATCTTCCCATCTCATTTCCAGTTCTTGAAATCCATGGCTCACTTCAGGGACTAGCACAGCGCCTGCCACATAGCAAGTGCTTAATTGTTCCTTTATTCAGCTCTTCCAAGATGGCTTTCCTGATTTCCTTGGTTGCTGGTGCCCATCCATCCCCCCTCCACTCCAGTGTACTGAATATTCATTCATCTATGAACAGGTTTTATCTTCCCAGCAGGATGCAAACTCCTTAAGATCTGGAATTTCTCACCTTTGTATTCGTGCCTGGCACACAGTAGGTGCTTCACAAAGGCGCACGGGTTGATCGAGTGAGTGAAATGAGAGATCCAAGGGAAGTGCTCAAGAAAATTTGAGGGAGAGTTTAAACTATCAGCTTTTCACGGGTGGCCTCCAAGCGTATGAATCTCTAGCCCTCGCCATTTTCCTGTCTACTGAACACAGCCTTATAGATTTAGAGCTGGAAGGAACTCTGGAGACCAACTCTAGAGGAAACGGAGACCCGGACCTGAGGTGACTTGCCCGAGATCACCCAGCCAGTAAGTGGCAGAGCTGAGATTTGAACCCAAGTCTTCTGAGTACAAATCCCGTGGTCACTGCCTCAAGAATCCTTCTCTTAGTATCCTTCTGGTGACCCATCTAAGCCCATGCTCATCTTCTTTCCCCGACTTCCCTAGTTCTACTCATGGCAATGCCATCCTTCCAGTTCCTGTGGCCCTAAAGCTCAGCATTATCTCTGACTTCTCCCTTGCCTTCCACATTCAGGGCACAAGGCCTATTGGTCCTTCCCCATTAAGCTCTCTCTGACCCCTTCCCTCCTTTTCTATTCTCCCAAGAAGACAGCACCCCTACATCAAAGAGAACAATGAGTAAAGAGATGGTCACCTGATCCAAGAAGGACTTGATCACTGGTCAGTCATCTTTGCCCTGCAGTTGACCTGAAAATGAGAGGCCTTCCTTAGACAAGAAACAGGCCAAAGAAGACTATGAATTCTGAAACAGGACAAAATAGCGATAACTGTTGTTATTATTATTGATATTTATATAGCCATCTAAGGTTTGCAAAACACTCTGCCTACATTTTTATAGACATCTCATTTGAGAGACACAACAAGCCTATGGGTTAGGTACCATCTGCATTATCATCCCCATTGTCTACATGAAGAAAATGAGAGTTAGTAGATGCTCGCGGTCACACAGCAATAGAACCCCAGGCCTGCACAACTCCAGATCTGGCAAGCACTCAATGCACCATACCCACTACCTCTTGGACCGGCAGCATAATGCTAGCTCTCGGAAGGAGCTGATGAATTACACATATGCTCAGTGGATGACTGGATCCACTATCAGCACCTAATGGCTGCCAGGAAGAGTAGGCCGAGGCTCGAGATCAGGTCCTTAGGGGAAGAAATTGAGGTGTACTGAAGATAGTATCCACCTCAACAACTGGGCAAGTCATGTAAACTCTTTATGCCTCAGTTTTATTCAAGTGTAAAGTGAAGGGTCCTTCCAATGATTCCCTGACTCTCTGAATAAATTTCAAGAGGACCAAACTGAACAGACAGAAATGGGTCTGGGTAGTGGGTAGGACTTCCAGGAAATGAATCCATACATAAGTTCCAAGAGAGAAGACAGAAGGAAAAACAACATGGTACGTAAAAGTGGGAACACCCAAGCTCAAATGTCAGATCTGCCACCATGAGCCATTCACATCACTTCTCAAAGCCTCAGTTTCTTCGTCTGTAAAACAAAGGGGTTGAAACCAAATGATCTCAAAGGTCCCCTCCAGTTCTAACACTTTGTGATTCTAGGGTAAAAAAGGCAATGGTCAGTGCTGGATAGCCTGAAGGTAGAGGAGAATACTTGGCGCTTAATGAAGAAATGCCTTTTACGTAGGGGCCCAAGAAACAGAGTGGATGCTGAGCCAAAATTAAGGAAGCACCAGACCAGAGGGGGGCTACTGTTAAGACTCTAAAGCAGTTTCTGAAAGGCTTGCAGATGCCACCAGACCTAGAGGCCAAGGCAGACCAAATCTAGTTCATGTTGGGGATTTGAACAGCTTGGTCCAGCATCCAATCCAAACAGGATTGAAGCAAAAAAATGGGGGCTGGGTCTGAATACCCCATGAGCTATGCCAGTCACACCAGACTGTGGCTAGACTTTAGGTATGTTAGAGAAAGGAATTTGCCAGTCATGAAGCTTCCCTTGGGCTAGACTTCTGATCTTCTTGTAGAGGAGGAGGTTGTTGGACCATACCCCCTGCCCTCCAAGCTGCCTCTCTTTCCATCAACCTGTCATTTTAGAAGTTCAGGTGCCAATGTGGTGATGACATCATTCACATCCCCAGCGAACTGCCCTCAGAGGACTTCGATGGTCCCCCCAACCACCATGACTTACCAATCAGGGAACCTGCCTCCCTCCAGTGGCCAGCTGGATAATGGGAAAAGGCAGGTGAAAAAAAAAATGAATTTAATTTCCTGTTCCTCATCCATTTAATGGTAGGTAGGGGTGGGGAAAGGGAGGAGTGGGGAAGATGGGGGGCAGAGAGGAGAGTGGGGAAGGGCTTTCTTCTCTTTCAATGATTGATAAGCCCGAGTAAGCATTTCACTCTCAATATATTGAAAACATATTTTCCAAGTTACCGCTGCTCTTGGATTTTCTTTTTCTCTCCTGGAAACCAATTGATGCTCTGGGAGGATGCCCTGAGTTGGCTGGCATGGTTGAGCTAGAAAATTCCCAGGAGCTGGGGGAGGGGGAAACCCAGGAGTGATTGGCAGAGAGCAGAGGGTCCCGGAACAAACAAATGCCAAAAAGATTAGCCAAGGGAATCATGTCCCTGGGAAGCTGCTCTCCTGCCCCATCGGGGGAAGGGGGGAGGGGGCAAAAGGGGAAACAGAGACAGAGAATGAGTCAACCCCTTACTTCCCTCTGCCACTGCCCCCCAACTCGGCCTTGGGTGTGGGCACTGTACCATAGGTACAGGGGCAAGCACAGGTGTGGGCCATCACTCATTAACCAAGGCAGGGCGGGGAGGCTGGGGAAACGGCTAGAGGAGGGGAGGGAAGGAAGCAGGGGAGGAGTTCCCTCTGAGGCTAGGAGGGCTAGACTGGATTGAACTGACCTGACCTGAAACAACCAGGAGGCCTGCTGGCCATTTTCTGCAACTTTGCAGAAAAGTTCGGGGCCACTGGCAGGGGAAGTTGCCCACATCAGGGGAAGTGCCCACTCTGACTCAACTCCTCCTATTCTCCCCATAGCATTTTTTTTTCTGACTCCCCTCCCCTAAACGTGGCAGGGTTACTATCGGGTCATAGATGTACAGCTAGAGGTAGAGCCCCTCCCCCCAGTCTGACAGCTCAATCAGTCAGATCTGCATGAAGCACCTACTACTGCCCAGTTGTACCCCAACCTACTACAGTGTCTCTTGGAGAGGCGGCATGGCACAAGGGGAAAAGCCCTAGATTTGTCGCCAGAAAAAGCTGGGTATGAATCTTGCCCCTGCCCCTTACCACCTCAGGCCAGTCTTGGACTCCCTGGACATCAGTTTCCTCATCTGTAAAAGGAGGGGCCCAGACTAATGGTCGCTAGCTCTATGATGCTATGAGCAGGCACTTGGGTATAAGGACAGAGGGGAGCCTAGAAGCTAGTTGGAAGTTCTTAAGTTGTTTTTGTGTCATGGACCCCCTACAGCAATCTGATAAAGCTTAGGGACCAAATACAACTGATTATATTGCATTATTGTGTTGAAATACAAACAGCGAAATATGTTTTTAAACAAGCTTACGGATAGACCCCAGGCTAAGACCCTCTGAAGAAGTTAGGTCTTTGAGCCTCTGACTCCAGAGACTGTCCCATATTTGTGATGTAACCAAAAAAAATCCTTGGATTTGGAATCAGGAAATGTGGGGTTCAGATCTTGATTCCAGCTTCTGTGAACTCATTAGTGAAAATGAGGCTAATAATAATATATGTGTGGCCCCCAAACAGGTCCTTTAAATTGTCTAGACATCAGGTTCCTCATCTGTAAAATGTGGGCTTTAAACCTGCCTGCCTCTCAAGTCCCTCGAAATTCTAATTCCTATTATCCTATCAGGGCCATTTACCAGGCCCACAGACAGACAGACGCCAGAAAACCTGCTTGTGGACCTCCTTCCTTCTCTCCTTCTCTGCCACCTATCTCCTGGCCTCGGGTTCAACTCTAGGCTGCCCTGGGTGGAGCTTATGAATAAGAATCCGAAGAGACAGGGCGGGCCAGCTGTCAGGAGGAGCCCAAAGCCAGTCCCCTGGTCTCTCCTGTGTTTATCCAGATAAAATCAAACTCAATGAACAGCTAGGCCCACCTAGAGCTCCAAAAAGGGGTAGCCTGAGCCTGGAGCGAAAAGGAGCATTCCCACCCCACTGGCCAGGGTGAGGGGGCGGGAGATTGGGAAAATGGACCGTATATGGATGAAACACAAGAAGTGAAAGTCTAAAGTGCTGAGGGTTAGCCTCCAAGAGAGGGGTGAAGAGGAAGGGTTTCATCATTCAAGGTTATTAGTCAGACCTACCATGCCACGTGGGAGGGGGTGTGGGAGGGGGAAGGGGCCAGCATCCAGACTTAGCGAAGGCTCCACAGGACCCCTCCCCAACAGCTCCGTGGACAAATATTTATTTAGAGTGCTGACTCCATTCCAGAAGGCCTCCCCTTATGTTTCACCAGTGCGGTGTTCCTCCCACCCCCATTACCTTTCATTTATTTGGTACGTGCTTTCCTGTACATGTTGTCTCCTCTATAGACTGTAAGCTCCTAGAGGACAGGAACTGTTTCAATTGGATCTTTGTACCCCACCCTACTACAGGCCTTGACTGGTCCCCCTGGCTGCTGATGCCTCCACCCCCACCCCACCCCCAATTAACTTGTATTTCTTTCTTCCTTTTTTTTTAAATTGGACCAGCAATTTCATCTGCACAGAGAACTTCTGGGGAGGAACTTCCTCTAGTCACTTAGTGTTTTAGAAAGTTGCCTTGGAGTGGGGGTGGAGGGACGCATGAAGTGACTTGTCTGTCCTGAGGCACAGAGTCTCCAAGTGCCAGAGGCTGGCCTTCAATTCTGGGGTCCTCCTGCCTCCTGGGGCAGCTCGTGATCTCCACCAGAACGCCTCTCTTACTCTGCACTTGTGGCTACCTGTCTGCCCGTACTGTGCCCCACCCCCGTCAGCTGCAAGCTTCCAGAGGGCAGGGCTGCCTCATTTTTTGTGCCGGGCACTTAGTAGGGGGCTCAATGATGCTTTTGGATTGATTGATTAATTGATGTATTGTTGTTGGGGAAGGAGCTACAGAGCTCAGCCACACACACACACACACACACACACACACACACACACACACACACACGTTCACACACTCACACACACGTTCACACACTCACACACATTCACACACGTTCACACACTCTCTCATACACACACACACACGTTCACATACTCTCACACACACACACACTCACACACTCACACACAGACACACGCGTTTCCTTCTTGAGAGTGATAGTCATTTACATTAAAGTTTCTAAAGTCCTTTGTGGTTTCCCCACAACAACCCTTTGAGGCAGACAGTACAAGTATCACATTCCCCACCTTGCAGAATAGCAAACTGAGAACAAGGGAGGTGATATGCCTTAATATAATAACTAGTATTTCTACAGCACATTAAGTACTTTGCAACTATTTTCTCATTTGATCCTTACAACAACCTGTGAGTTATGTGCTACTGTTATCCCCATTTTAGAGATGAGGAAATTGAAATTGAAAGAAGTTAAGAGACTTGCCCAAGGTCACACAGGTAGTGTCTGAGGCTGGATTTGAACTCGGGTCTTCCTGACCTCAAGCCCTGGGCTCTATCCACTGTGTCACCTAGCTGCCTCTAACTGACTGGTCTGAGGTCACACATCAAAAAAGTCTCAGAGTTGATGAGAAGAGCCAAAGTATGACTGAGTCAGGAAGACCCAAGTTCAAATCCTGTCTCAAATACTAGCCGTCCCACCCTCAGATTCAGAAAGGAGAAAATGACAGCAGCTGCATCCCACAGTTGTTGTGAGGCTCAGCTGTGTAAAGGGATTTGCAGACCTCCGAGTGCTAAATCAATGGTTATTATTCGATCAGAAATCCTTGGAGATCTGCTCCAGCCCAATCCCTCTCTTAGGCCTCTAGCTGGATAGCACCAACCAGAAGAAGAAAGTGGTCTCTTCTCCTTCCAAATCCCTTCCCACGGCTTCCCCCCACTGACATGCCTGCATGCACATACTCACACACACACACACACATACACACACACACACACACACACACACACACACACACCCCCCACACACACACACACCCCTAGCCTGAGGTGTGCCTGATGGCAAGCAGGCTCCTGTTTTCCCTGGGTCTCCTTCCCTACATGAAGAGGAGGCAGTAGCTGCTTTCCCCTTCCAGATAGAGTTTTATTGCCCAGGGAAAGGTGAAAGTCAGCCAAGCAAGGGCCCCAGAGAGCAGAGTCCCAGCTCCTCTGACAGAGGGGTGCTTATCCCCTACAGGCATTTACCCTGAATCCTCCCGGCTAGGAAAGGTCTCAAGTCCCTCTCCCCAGTCTCTGCTGGCCCTGGCCCACTTCTGCCTGGGAGGAGAAGTGGCCCACAGAAGACCTTCTGTCAGGCCCAGGGCCAGGGCCAGAAAATGGATTTTCATTTTTAATGAAAGCATGACACCCCTTCCCCCTTCCCTGAGTCCTCTCTAAGACCCCCTCCCCATCTGTCTCTGCGCCTGTATCCCTGGGCCTCCTGATGCCTGATCCAGGCAGATGCAGGGGAGGAGGTAAGCCGGCCCCAGATCGGCCCGGGCCTGGGAGGACACACAATTAGCACTGATTCTCTCCGACCATATAACCCTCCCAGGAGGGAATAAAGTTTTACCCCAGGAGCTATAAGGGCTCCCAGAGCAAACTCCCTGGCTCGGCTTTTACGAGCTCAGGGATATGCTTCATCCGATGAGTAATAGCCCATCCTGCGGCTGCTGGGCAGGAAGTCGGCAGGGCCACCTCAGCCTCAGAGTTCACCTCCACCTCCACATGACCCACCTCAATCACTTGGCTTTACAGTCGTGTAAAGCTAGTCCTCAAACTTTACTATCTCGGGGCTGGGAGAGATCGCTGATAATGGCTAATGGAGTTTGCTTGCTCCCACACCCTGGCTGAGGCCTGTGCCCAAGTCACGCAAGCCCCAGTGCTGGGACAGGCCAGGAGGTGGGAACCAGAATCACACATCAGGACCTGTCCTTCCCCCCACCCTATTTACTCCCCGCCCCCATAAAAGTCACGAACTAACCCTTCTTCACCAAAGTAAGTAAACCCCGGGCAAAACAAAAGCTGTGTCCCCCTCCCCTGTTCCACACTTCATTGGTAATACTTCTGGCGGGTGGGGCCTGAGAGGAGATGGCACCCAGTAGGATCCCACAGCTGAGGTCTCAGATTTGGTCTCTAAGCCTCATCCATCTCCACATAGAGACCTAATTCATGACTGGACCTAGAGAGGGGAGAGAATCTAATTTATTGAGTGTCCCAGAATACACGCTCCATCCCAGGAGAGACCATGGGGGAAACTGAGGCAGCAATGGATTCTCCCTGCCCATGGAGGGAAGAGAGCGTTGCTCTGCTCATCCCAGTGGGAGGGATGAAAGTGGAGAAGTCATCACTTCTTGGTTCTTACTCAGGAATGAAACTCAGGGACACATACTACCTGGGACAGTAAAGCACGGTCTTTGGTCCTGAGTCTGTAAATCTATGTCTAGATGGATAAATTGAACGTTGATTAAAAAAGGAGGAAAAAATACCTTTCCCAATTCAGGTCAATTCAATTCAACAAACATTAAGTCTACTAGGTACAAGGTAAGTGGCCGTGTATGGTAATGGATAGAAAGCTAGCCTCCAAGCCAAGAAGACTTGTGTTCCAGTCCTACTTCTGATACATCCTGTCCATGCAACCCTGGCTACCACTTTACCTCTCAATGCCCTAGGCCACTCCCTAAGACTATATAAGTTGCAAAGAAAATAAAATGAGCATTTTTATGCAAAGTAAAGCAAAAAGAGTATTATACATGGCACAGCAAATCTTTGTTACATAGTTTGCATTTTTTTTTAAGCATAAAACTTCAGCCTGGAAGTTTCAAAGCTGTCCTGCTTGACTGTTTCCCTCT